TATTTGTTTTAGAAAAAATCAAGTTTAAAGAAATGTAAAAAAATTACTTACGTATAATTATATATAAAATTATGCATAATTAAGTGTGAGCAATTTTTTTTACATTTTTCCAAACTTGTTTTTTTCTAAAACAAACAATGCAAAAATTATCCCTTTAATTATTTTTCATGTTTTTACATTACTATTATTATTTTTATTACACTAAAAAGTAATTTTACAAAAGAAAGAAGGATATATGAACATGTATGGACATATTTCATATATGATTATACATGTTTATGAATATTTATGTGTGTTTATACATATTTATACATATTCATGCATGAAAAAATTTTAATATTATTAATAAGTAATAAAATATTATAAAATTGTATTAATATATATAAACATTGTGCTTGTTTAGGGTTTTTTAACACGAAAAAATGACCGTCAATTATTCCAGCAATTTATTGAAAAACGTTCACGAAAATTTAACCTTGCCAGATAGCGGTGAAACATTCTTAGTTCAAGGAGATTACGAGTACTGGCACTATGGTTGCGATGGTTTTAATGATAGGGTGATTATGATTATTTGGGATATATAATAGCAATTAATATTCTCTTACGTATCAAATCATCAAAATAAATACATTTACATTTGTTCAGGGTTGGGGATGTGGATACAGGACACTGCAAACCATTTGTTCATGGATCATAAATAATGAGAATTTGGAAAAAATTGTTCCAAACATTAATAAAATACAAGAGACCCTTGTCGAAGTGGAGGATAAAGACAGAACATTTATTGGGTCGAGAGAATGGATAGGAAGTTTCGAAGTAAGCTTAATTCCCTTAGTACGTATCGGGGTTTTAAATGTAAGAGGATTTGACGGGCTTGACATTTTAAACATTTTATAGGTATCGATTGTTTTAAATCAACTTTATGAAGCTCTTAGCAAAATAATTTACGTGTCGAGCGGAAAGGGATTAATTGATCAAGTGGATAAGATTAAAAAACATTTCGAGCAATTTGGCAGTCCGATTATGATGGGTGGAGACAGGGATTGCTCTAGCAAATGTATAGTAGGATTACACGTTGGAAACAGAGGTGTGTATTTGTTAATTGTAGATCCACACTTTGTTGGAAAAGTAAAAAGTGCAGAACATTTAAAGAACGATCATTGGGTGAAGTGGCAAAACTTGGATGATTTCGTCGATAGCTCGTTTTACAATATGTGTTTACCGCAGCTTAAGTATCGCGAACTAAGCGATAAATGATTAATTGTTTACACGAAATAATTATGTATTTTCGCCAAAAATTGTAATTTTGTATTACGCTGATCTTCGATATTCGATCGATAAATATTAAATTGAACGTGATATTTTGTCTTTTCTTTTCTCATTTATTGTTATGTTAAAAAAATTTATAGAATTATACATAATCCTTAAAATTACGACAGTTTAAAATAGCTTAATGGCTGTTCATTATTATGTTATAATGAATATTATTAATTAATAATAGACGTATTACTTAAACGTGAAATATACTGAAGAATGCAGCGGTTCTTGTCTTTTTTCTATTAATCTCGAAGATTTTTAATCTGTATTTAACACTAAACAAACACCCTGAAGTATCCAATGAGAAGCATGTTCTGGAGTCGCCAAATTTGCCTCAAAAATTAATCCATCAGCGAGAGCATTTCGTCGATTCGACGTAATATATACGGGAGTTTTAAAAGTATTCTGTAACAAGCGTAAAAATAAGAATTATTCATTTTACGATCTAGAAGTTCTTCACAAAAATTGTGGTTACTTGAACGTATTAATGATCAGTTAAATCGTTTTATTTGAATATTTCAATAAATAGGAAATGCCTTATTTAGTCTGACATGAGTTAAACTTTTGTGTTTAATAATATTAATGTGAATTTATTATAAGATCTGTTCTTTTTAACTAAATTTCTTACACGGTTCATCTTTTCACCTTTTCTTTCTATATTGCAGAAAAAGAAAAAAAAATAAACCGTTCAAAAAGTTCAGCTAAAAAGAAAAAAATCTAGATTTATACTTATTTATAATAGTTCTGTAAATTGCATACCGATTTAATTTTCGGTCTTAAAACGCAATCTCAAAACGAAACTAGAATAGTAATATGAATTGAATCGCAAGTATACTCATATATGTTGTATGTAGAAGAAAAGGGACAAAGTGCAAAATAAAGATATTGCTTAATTAATTGAAAGAACTATAATTAATTAGTCCATTGATTAACATCAATAATAATATAGTAAAGACGGCATGAGGATCGAAACGACTGCCCCGGAAACGTACTATCTTTCTTTTTTACGTCACTATGTAGATCGGCAAATTCAATACCTGTAACTTCAATCTATGAACTTCAATAGGTATTATGGTTAATATTGGTAGCTCTTCAAACAGAACTTTCGGATGCGATCTTTGTAAACAATGCTTCTCGATGTCCCACCTAGCGCCTTCCAGATACAATCCGTACACGTAACAGCCCTGTTTAAAACACGCATGGAAGAGTATAATGCGATATTGTTGCAATTTTAATAAAATATCAAAAAGTAAATGTCGTTGGGATTTGCCTCATCGGGTCTCTCTTCTACGTCGTCAGGCTTGAGAAAGTTGGACACCGTCGTGTAAATAACGGAATGATCGAGGGGCCAATTGTTCTTGCGGCAAGCCATTTGCACCAGAGCCGCCAGATAAGTTTCTGGAACGTGCAATCCGGACAACCATAGCACCACGGGTTCATTCGCGCCGGACTAACAGGGAGAAAAAGTAGACATTATTAATTGCGAAGAGATTAACGCACACCTCTTACAGAAATTTTACTTGGAAGGTATGTAATCATTAATTACTTATTTTGAATATTAAAGTGCTGCATTAATAATGGGAAAAAATTTCTGGTTGAAAATGAAAGAACCAGAAGGTTGTGATCACCAATCAGAAACCTAGTTAATTTAATTAGAATAATAATAGACCAGGAAATTCTGATTTGTTTTCATCCAGAATTCTAATTAATGCAACTAGACTCTTTTTTCAGTATGTATAATTCAGCTTTTAATATTAAAAATGAGTAATTAATTACTATCTTTCAGTAGTAAATTGGCCAAATTAAATTTCTGTAAGAGATGTTGCAACATTTTGCTTAATCCATACCCAGTTCGTGTATTGGTTTATCCTCTTCTGAAAATGGTCCATCCAGCCGGCGAGGTTTTTTCGCGTGTCTGGCGCCAATTTGGCCCATTCTTTAGGTAGCATACCGTTATAGAGTGCCATCGAAATATTCTCTAGCACTGCGTCCAGTCCAATCTCGCCAGCGATGGCCTACAATTTTATTTTGGATATCAGACGTGTTCTTAATTGACAATATCCTAAAACAAATTCTCATTGCACATATTTTTAAGAATTGTACATTTCAGATTTATATTATTATATTTCAAAAAGTTTGAAACTTCATCTCTTCCTTAAATCTAGGACAAAATAAATTCCTCTTTTATTATTAGCTGCTGCTTCTCTTAATATAAATATAGAACAAAATAATTGCATAAAGTTATTATGAAAAAAGTAGAATTTTAATAAAGGTAATATATAAAGATTAATAAAAATGATAAAAATGCATCTTGTGTAGAATCTATACGTAATTAATTAGTTATTAAATAATTAAATAATTAAATTGGATCTATGCATTTAACAGGTTGAAATCTCGAAGGCTTAGTGACCTTTCTCAATTGATTTAATGTTCTCGTAATCGTTTCTATTAACTTGTTGAATCTTTCCAGTTCCTGAAATAGAACGATCGCGGTCGGTGTCACGCCAACGCCGAAATTTCTCTTGACCTTACTAATATCATATGGCGCGGGTATCTTAGTCAAGATTTCCTTCGCTACGTTATCGATGAACTCATCTTTGCTGACACCGATGTCGCTCACGGCTAAAGAATTTAACGTCATTTTAATTATAATGACATATCATTATAATTTATCAGAAAATGCAATAAATTTGAAAGTGCGACTTACTCTTTTTATCCAAGCGAGCTACAAACAGTTTTTAAATAAAATATAAAATTAAAAATTACTTAATTGAAAATTATTGAGAGACAGCTTTCTCGAGAATAAAAGCATAGCAATAAAAATGACGTAATATTAATTTAACTTATTTAAATATATTTATTTTTAAGTATATTTTTGAAAAATCGGGTTAAAAAATTTGTATTTATAATAATTGCTCCAAGTAGATTAACTTACGTTTAAAAAACGTTTAGCGAAATCTTTGTTATGGTTTGTATAAAAATATGAACTATTATTAAATCATTGAAATGTCTTATATAAAACGGTGTTTTAAATGATAATAAGAGATAAACGTTATGAATGTCTTATAAAACATTTTTATAACGTTTATTAAACGTGTTTTTAACGTAACTGTTGCGCTTGGATTACGTCATAATTTTGCCATATGATTATTACGATGGTTATTTAACACAGAAACAGTGTTTTGATAAGGCAAGAAAAATATATAACGTGCTCGCACCGGTTTGCGGTTGAAGTTCTATGAGATGCTTCCACATTCCTTTAACTGCCTGCGTAAAGAATCCAATCTCGGCGTTTGAATGCAACCCAAATATTTCAGGACCGTTCACCAGCGGAAGTTCTTCAATAAATTGTAAGTAATCGTCACGATTTCCTTCTGGCGGTATCACATAGTCGACAATATCGTCCTTGTAAAAGTGAAACGGTTGGTGCTCGTCGAAGAGAAAATCGCCGAAATATTCGTCCATGTAAGTGTAAGAAATGCGCCGATCGTAACTGTCCATCACTCTTCCGCCGTACATTACCTGATTATTTTTGAGCATATAATAATTTGCATTCAAAATTTATACGAAAAAGATACTCAGGATGACAATAAAAAATGGAGATATATTCTAGACCAAAAGTTTGGAAGCACTTTTTAAAAATTAACTTAACATATATATGTATATCTAATATATTCTTTTGTCATTATCCAAAGTATTTTTAGTATAAATTTTTGAAAGTGTTTCCAAACTTTTGGTCTGGAGTGTATATAAATTAATTAAGTAAATTAACTGAGAGCTTATGTTATACTTTTAATATATTGTACTATGATTTTAATATACTAGATCGCAAAATTCAAACATACTTCGCCAATTAAATATTTGAGACTATTCCATGGTACTTCAGACTCCTTCACCATTGTCTTCGTCAAATAAGTGTCTAAGATGGTAACGCACACATTAAAATCTGACTCGTTAAAGTCGTATTTTAAGTTCCATCCAATTTTATTGTACTTTCTTCTTTCCTGAAATGTTGAGAGCACTTTAATAAAAAAATTACTCTGAGGATTAAACATGCAATCACATTAAATATTCGCTTGCCTGGATAACTGCGTGATAAAATGCTAGAACGTAAATTAAATGTTTGTAAAGAGGATGAGAACAACTTTCCAAGACCTGCGGGCGCATGTTAAAGTACGTATTTTGCAAGTTTAGCTTCAATCCACTCGGCGGTTCCGTCACCACTGCAAATAAATTTCATTCAAAAATATGATATATAACTTTTGGAATATAATAAGTATTCTACCTTTTAAAGATTGTTGAAGCATTCCGATTGGAAAACTAGGAGTGGGCTCCGTAGTGAGCCACAAGCGAAAATCGGGATGAGGCTTCTCTATGTTCTCCACGAACTTTTCTAAATTTTTCGTGAAGGACAGCAGTAAATGACAATTCTGCAACATCAGCCATTGGCCTCTTGTTCTTGCTGTTTCCAATAATTCCATTGCGATCTAACAAATAATTTTTAAAAGGCAATTAAATGCAGCTTTTTTAAAATATAAAAAATTAATGTTAATTGTTTACTTAATCGATGTTATTTTATTCTATAAAACAAGCCTGTTCAATTGGAGCTCCAGGAGTCAAAAGGCAAAGCCATCGACGTAAAAAAATATGAGTAAGATTTTAGGAACTATAAAGTGTTGATAAGCGTCATTTAAATCGTATCAACACTTTACAATCCCCGAAATCTTACCCATATTGAATATTTTTACGTCGATAGCTTTGCGTTTTGGCTTCGGAGCTCAAATTGAATAGGCCTGCTATAAAAGATATTAAATATCAAGTTGGTACGAAAAGTTCAAATAACACAATCACATTACTTTAAATTAATATTTAGATATGTTTAAAATTTCTACACAAAAATTTTAACAAAAATCAATTTTAATATAAGTACAAAATGTTTGTTATCGTATATCTTACTTTTTCTTGGCTTTGACCGAGCGAAAGATATTTAAATTTTTCTCCGCCGTAACCGTATCGATCAGCCAACTTCATCAGTTCTGAAATGGGATCCGAACCCGGGCTTAAGATGAAAACTACTGGCATGATCGATGTACTTTCGTCGAAAATCATATCGAAGCTCACGTGAGGCGGCGTAATGTATTGCTTGCCCATGATTTCGATAATGTAATTGATAATACCACGATATACGCGATCGATTCGAAAACAGCGTATCAACATTAACTTTTCGAACGATGTCACTCGCGTACTATAATCACACGGAAATTCTTCAGATTCTGGTGTATCCGAGTCGTACCACTGAAACGGAATTAATTATCTAAATAATCACTTTTCTCAGTAGAATGATATTTTTCTGTGTGTGAAAAAAAATGGAATATTTTTAAATAAAATTCGAAATTATTATTTCCACTATAGTTTCGCGCTAAAATTTACGACATTAAATTATTTGTATAGTTACTGTTTTGCATTTTTAGTTTACCTTCTTCCATTCATCTTCACTATCTCGTATTTCTTCCGGAAGTTGTCCGAACTTCTCTGGGAAATCGCTCGCCAGCTTGACAACATCGTCCCAACCCGATAACGGCAGCCATTTGGTAGGATTCGATTTGGGTACTTTTTCTAGGTTCATACTGCCCTTGATGAAGAATTCTAATTGCTTCTGGTTCACGTTGCCTAACTTCTGTTCTATCTTCACGCAAGTTTGCAGGGAAAAGAGCAACTTGTGCCGCGCGAAGATACCAGTGCAGCCATAATCGTAGACATTCTTTGTTAACATTGGAATAATGTTTTTCAGTCGTTCAATGACCACTGGATTCGGTAACGATCTCTTCAGCGAGCGGATGAACACCTCAATGTAACTGTTCAGTGAGTATTGATACATGGCATTTATGGTGGCCATGTCGATCAGCACGGAGAATAGAATTGCGCCCCGTTCCGCTACCGGACGATAATTTTCGCGAAGTTTGTTGATGTCTGCAGAAGTGATTTCTGCGAGCAACAGCGCTTCCATTACTTCATTGGCGCTGTACTTGATGTTTTTCAAAGTCTCGATCAGCTCGATGTTATCCACCATGTTACCTTTATCCACGGCAATCTCGCGAAGAAGACGGTCTTCCAATTGCCGCAGCAGATTCTTATTCTCGCTAGTTTCCAAAATCAGCGTTTCACGTTGTTCCTCGATGTCCGGTCTTTCAGTTTTCACCACTACTGACAGAAGTTGGTTCTCCAAACCCTGAAGAAAAGTGAGACTTTATTGTATAAAACTTAAATTTGATATATTTATAGTTTTTTAAATTAAAGAAAAATTACTGTTTTCTTGAATAAAATATAGTTATAATGTAATTATAATTATATCGAAAACAAATATTAAGAAACAGAAAACTTGTAAATCAATATTCTAATAACACATATTAATTATGACTTAGCTCATTAATTACGATTGTATCATAATTATAATGAAGTTAACTCACTGCTGTAGTGACCATGTAATTGATGACAACGGCCTTGGCATATAAAGCAGGATCCAGCATCGGATTAGTTATTTTTGTTGTCAAATATATTCTGAATTGCGGATCATAATCTATCTCTTTATCGCCGAGAATGACGAAAGTTCGTCCTTCACTAGCTACAGAAATCAAATCAAAACAAGTTTTAAAACTGCAATTATATATATATCGATTCATGAATTCATTTAAATTGTATAACTTACTTTGGATATTTTTCGATAAGACGTTAGCCAAGATGGGATCAACCTCGTCGGCATCTTGAACGAGCACAGACAGACCATATTTGATTGCTAATTCCATTTGCTTTAAGAAATCTACGTCCGTAAAGGAGAGGATCTTTAGATTCTTCTTCTGCTCTCTTTTCTTGATCCAATTTAATGCTTGTTGTTGGGGATCAATACAAAGCGGAAATCTAGATGCTTTCAGAGTTAGTATACCGTTTTGTACGGATAGCTCGTCTGGTGGAAGACCTTCCGAGTTCCAACTGCAAGTTACATTAAATATTAAAAGCACAATGTTAGTATCGCTAAGCTACACGAATATATTTGTTAGAAAAAAATAGAACAGCGATTACTCATACACTACAGAAGCTAGTTTAGCTTTGCAGTAATGTTACTGTAATCATGCTGAAATGTTTCAATGTTGCTGCAATATTACTGGAATAATCTGTGCCACATGAGTAATAACAATAATTGTTAATCCTAATTAGTATTTGTAAATCCAGCCTTTTTTCAGTTATGCGCTAAACTTTATGAAAAATTATTTATATCAAATGTTTTTGCCTAAAATTAGATTTTAGGCAAAAGCTCTTACATAATTTTAATTAGATAATTTTATTTCTTAAATTATGACTTTCATGTATTAAAAAAAATGTTGAATTACGTTGCAAAAATACTCTCTAAATCCTTTGAAGAGATTTATTCCAAAGAATGCATCAAGTTTTGTCAAGTACATTGAACTCTCAAATATCAAATATAAATTAAAGAAATTCCGAAACGAATACTAATTAGGCGATTAAAACTGTTTTTGTATGACATTTTTCTTTTACTTCTAATTTTTAGAAATTTAATGGCATTTGCAAAATTTTTATTTTAATCGATAGATAAAAAGAAAAATTATATAACAATTACTATGTAGTGATATATCTATCTGTGCTGTATGGATATGCAGGAGTCTCGTTTACTTGGTAATTTCGACGTCGTCGCTCAGTTGTGTTTCGAGCTTGAAGGGCGTTGATAAAGGTAATTCCTTGTCTCGAACGCTCCTCTCCCATTCGCTGTACATTTCATTCCTGAACTCGTAGGAAAAAGGACCGCTGTAAGTCAGAAAGGATGCTCCGAGTAAGCAATTTCCTGTGATCTTCACCAAGTCATCTTGAAGAACCTTCAGATCCTTTTGCCATCGTTCATTCTCGGAGGATAATCCGGAGATGAGTTTCTCAGCAGCCGAAAGACGTCGTTGTAACAAATCTGTTTCATCCTGAAGTCTCTGTCGCTTAATCATCGCGTCGTTATATTTCTCATTTAATTCTTTGATCGTTTCTTTCAATCGTTTTAATTCCGCTTCTTCCTTTTCTAACGCGCGCCTGGCTTTTTCGGACTCCGCTTCGAGTTCTTGAACTCTGTCCATCTTTGGTTTCACCTGAAACGACAGATCAAAAGTAAAATGTTAGCGTAGAAATTTATATAATTAACATTTGACTGTCGTTTTTTATAATTGGTCCCCTTATAAAAATCTTATGACGAGTAACATATTCTAGCTAAAGAGTATTGTTGAAAGAAATATCTTTAATGATTTAATATTAAATATTATTTATTGAAATATTAGTATAGGGTTTATAACGCCGATTCTCACTAGTTTAAATTTTTCTTTTTTTATCGTATTAAAATTTAGAAAATTTTATTTGTATTTTAAATTATTTAGTATGTTATATATATTGAGGACTTAAATCGTGATGAATCTTTAAATAATAAAGAATAGAAAAGATTAAAAGAAAAAAAATGAATAAATAAGAAATGAACAAATAAAGAAATAAATAAATAAAATTAGATTTTAGGCAAAAGTTAACAGATGAATTGTCAATTAAAGCTTACAACATAATGTAATAAATACCTCTCTAAAAACGGCGCAATAATCCAGAACAGCAAGCACGAACTTGTATAAGCCGTATCCTGCTTTGCTGATGACTTGCATCTGATCCAGCTTATCCGACTTCTTCAAATGCGCCTTTACCGCTTGCTGTGTCCGCAGAGTGATCAAGTCGCAATTCATATCCTGCAAGTGCCTCAAGAAATAAGGATCGCTCATCATGCCTTTCGCCCCTTTCCACGATACTTCTTTGACGCCACGAAGCATCGCAACGCATTCCGAGACAATCTGCACTGGTTCGGGCGGAGTGGGAAAAGATCTGAATAGTCATTACTGATTTTTAGCAAGTTTGAAGATTAATATCTTTCGATTAATATTCTACTAGGCGATTTTCTTTACTTTTTTTAAAATTCAATGAATAGTTGATAAATATTAGAAATATTAACAAATCTTAGAAAGGATCAAATTCACAGAGTATTTTTGATAAACTTCAAAAATCTACCCATTATTAAGACTTATGTTTATAAATATCTTTTGTTTGTCACATTACAAGTTATATTATATGTAAAGGCAAACGTATTTATCGGAATCCTTTAAACAGATGAATTTTATATAATATAAAACTTATATAAATAAAGAAAAGTAACTAATCCAGAATGGACCTTATCTCGGTAATATCTGCTTTATCGAGGTCACTCAATGCAAGTTTGGCCGCATCGAGGATCGGTTGAGCCTCCGCTAAGGCTTGCCTAGCTTCCGTTTGTTCTTTGGTAATTATTTTCTGCTTATCCTCAATTTCCTTCATCTTTTCTTCTCTCAGAATCTTTTTTTCCAACTCGATGTCTGTGCTCTTGCCGATAGTATTGAGCAACTGTTCGCAGTTTCTCGTTTGTTCATTTATTTTGATTCTTTGCTTTGCCAAGACTTTATTTAATTCCGTTAAATTCGCCGAAGCGTCTGTGATTTTCTGTAATCCTATAAAAAAATTTTATTATACGAAAACGAAAAACTCCGTCGAAAGATAATTTCTCTTAAATTATACGAAAAAACATAAGACTTTTATTGAAAGATAATTTCTTTTAAAAATGAAATAAGAGACGTAAAGGGTGATATTAAAGAAATATTGTTAAATTTATTGACTTCATATCTTATTAATGAAGAAATATAATAAAAAATAAAATAATTTTGTATAAAAGATTTTTATATAAAAGATTTTGCAACTACCTCCGGAAAGACGCGTGCAGCGCGAAGTTATGAAAGTCTTCTTCTCTACCAATAGATTCAAATAAGTGTTGATAAAATTCATAAAATGCCATGGCGTGACATAATTTCGTCGCCTCAGCTTCGTCGCAAAATCCACTGTATATTGCAATACGGATGTATGTACGTATACAATGTGACTCGCGATCACTTCCTTGTACTCTCGCGGCACGATCTGATTCTGAAAGAAAAGGATTTCTCATTTCATGTTGGAACATTTCAAGTAGAACAAAATGTCATTATCATATCGAAATGGCGTCAAAGTGTCTCCAAAACACTTAAAAGTCACTTTTCGATCAGTCACGATTCATTATGACTTTATCGGGATCTTATTCTGTTTTATTTTTGCTCACGTCGTTGAGTAGAACATTCGCTACCGCTATCAAGGCCTGCTGTGGCCACGGTAACATCCAGTCTATAGTGGTGTTGTTGATTAAACCGGGATAGTTGCGACAGTGTGTCCGTAAAACATCGTTCGATGGACTCATCGCCAACGCTATTCGTAAATTCGCGGTGCATGTCTTAATGAAATACGACCAGACACTCTTCCTAAAATAAAAAAAATTTGATTTTAATACTAAAACATTAGCTCTGCCCAAAGTACTTCTTTATTTAATTCGGTTTGTTCTCTCACAAGAGGTATAATTAAACTATCGTAGATTGTTTGTGTTTAGGTGTAGATTATAAATATTTTGGCATTAAACAAAATGTATAAAACTTATGTTACATTAATTAAGAGTGACTTATTTCCTTGTAAGTAGAATTTACTATCAATATAATAATATATTGTATCACTTATAATATTATCGATATCCTTCTCAGGATTAAACATGTATTTCAAGAATATTAAAATAAAAACGTGTAAAGTGGACAAACAGCTTACTTTGACATATCAAAGCCTGCTTTAACCGCTGCATCTCTGCAGGAAGAGACAATTGTGTCTTTCTCGTCATCGTTGAAGAGAGTCGGTACGAAACCTATCAACATGCTGTTCACCAACTCAAGGAAGCTTTCGTCCTTAATGTGGGCAGACGTGAACATAAACACAATCTTTTTATTTTCCAGACCGACCATGTTATACAAATTCTTTATGTCTTCGCGGAAGGACGCTTGATTGTATCCGCGACGCAGAACGATCTGAAAGACTTGATAACCGGCAGCGAAGGATGCTAACTTGATCACGGATTTCTTGCCGCTGCCACCCGTACCAATGACCAGTACGTGACCGCAGTGCATCCGAAGTGCACGATGCACTCTGGTCAGATGCTCTAGCGCGTCATTGAAGAGAACCATGTGCAGCTTTATTCTGTTCCTCTCGTTGTATTCTTCGAAAATCTGTAGGTAGCACAAAGACATTTTTTAAACATATATTGAACATTAATTTAATTCTGTGAAGTTGACGTTAAAATCTGTCACACAATTACTGATGCTGGATCTGTGATATTTATTAAAAGACACTAATTAATTTCAAGGAACCAAAATGACATAATTCATATACAAAAGAATGTGTATGAATATTAATAAGTTTATTTTAATAACAATGATTTAAATTTGCAATTGTAAATAAAAAATATAATTAAGTAGAATTAGTAGGACCCACTCCTCAATTCCAGGTTAAACAACGACGTTGCTTGAATAATATTTAGAGATTTTTATAGATAGGAATGTTAATATAACATAGAAAAGTAATTAAAAATTATATATTTAAAGAAAACACTTGACCTCTAGAAATAAGCTGTAAACTGCTTCATAATCCAACAGATCCTCATAAAATCTAGGCTTATCTTCATTGAAGGCATTCCTGAAATCGCCATACAGTATCGGGTCTCTTAAACTGTATTCAATCACTTCAGGTTCTAGTTCCCAACAAGTTTGTATTTTTTCATTCAATTGCTCGATTACTAAATTTTTATCCTGGAATAGCAAAATTATTTTAAAAACAAATCTTTAATTCTTCTTTAATTATTAATGTGTGTTAGATTTCCTAGATTCCCCATACCTTATAAAGTCGTGCTACATGTATAAATGTTATTTATATACATTATTATATTTAACGTAAATTGTTTGACAATTAAAAACTTTTTTCATTTATCTTTACTTTTAAAAAATGTATGAAATATTATCAATTTAAATTCATTTAATTGTAGATCATAAAAAAAACTAAAAATTGAAAAAAATGAAAATTGAAATGTAATGTTGAGATGTCAGAAATACTCTACGTGAATAATTACGTTGAAAAAAGCCACGCGAATATATAATGTAAGATTAATGTACAGGAAAAAAAGGAGAAGTCTTATTACTTGCACGCTAATGAGGCGATCGCATATAACTCTGGTAACCTCGTTTCTCCAGAGTCTAACAAACTGTTGTACGGTTACGAAAAAGAAATTAGGCTGGGTCTGAAGCAATCCAGCCATAATTCTTGAGAGATCCCGCATATTGAAAATATAGTGAAACTTGGACGGAGTCGGCAGTAGTTCCTTCCTAACTATCTGAATAGCATTATGTTGTTAATATACATATCTCACTTAGAGATATAATGCTATACGTAACGTGACGCAAAATTACCTTGTAAAGTTCCAACGTCAATTGTACAAGTTTGTCTGCGATAGATAGAATTTCCTCCGAAAATGTTTGCAGATGTCCGGATAAAATACTCGTGTAAATATAATTCAGAGTCTCGTTCGTTGGTAAAGTTACGTTGCAAACTGAGAACATTGAGATAAATCGCGGATCAACTTCGTTCCTACCACCACCGGGTTCTCCCATAGCTGCTAAATAATCTACAAAAAATATTTTGTACTGCGACCAATTAATTAACATAAAAATAATGTGTTTAAAAATGTAAATTCTAGGATAAAATGCGTTAATTTTACATATTATAAACAATTAATTTTACTGAAGAAATATGCTTCCACGATTTATTTACAAACTGTGTCAATATTACACCTTCTATGTTAATTTTTTACATAATGGTTGTGTTACTTTCTAACATTCATTTCGTGTTAAATTAACACAAAGATTTATGTAATTTGTATGAAATGAATTTAACACAAATTTTTAACTGTTACAGAAAATACATTCGTGACATAAGTCTTCAATTAATTAAACATACATATTATAAGCGTATATTAAATCCTCGATGTCGACAAATGATGAAAAATTGATAAAATTATTGCTAGGAAAATTGATTTCGTGTTTTTAAAAAAGCATTTTTGATACTTCCTGAACATACTTACAAATATCTTTCATATATTTCCAATTCAAATCGCGTCCGCGATCATAAAAGCCACCCTTTTCAAACAATAGTTTAAGAAACGCGATGGGCTGTTGGGTTCCATAAATATCCACGATTGGCATATTCATGTCGTCGATGAAAACTATTAATTTCTTTCCAGGCGGGGCTCCGAATACCTCTCTCGATCTTTTTTCCACTACCGATTCGATATTCGTTTGCACGTCTACTGAAGTGGTTCTTGAGGAAAAGTTTATTAAGAGCTGTTCCTATTTGTCATAAATTGTTGATAAATATAAATTTTTCGTATCTTATTGCATCGTTTTCTTTCTTTTATGTATTATATCATATATTTTATTGGAAAATTATTTGAATAAAACACAAAGCGTTTCAAAAGGAGAGGTCAATATTTTGGGCGATGATGGCATTGATAATCTTAACTAAAAAAGTTCATATAAATGTGTGTTCTATTCCGAACGGTTTCCGAGATTTCCAAGCAAAAATTTATATAACAGTTTTATGTGAACAGTTTTACTTAAAATGACAGACCATCATAATATTGACATTTTCTCTTGAGACACCATGTATAGAAAACAGTTACTAATTAAGTTGATTTCTTCGATATAGGTTTTTTTTTCACTTACGTATTTTTCGGGATTCAAGTTTCTTAGAAACTCATGAATTATCGCCGTTTTCGATGTGCCAGTTTCTCCGACCAACAATACCGGTCTCAGTACATTGTTCATGAGATTTACGAACCATGTAGTACGCAGAGTATCAGTTGTTTGCACTAAAATGTCCGAAAAGTTCTTCTGTCTGTCATGAACATACGTTGGTACCAACCACTGCCATGCCATCCAAACCTTTTTCTTGATATCCAGTACGTAATCGTAGATGGTTGGAAAAGATACAGGTATAAATTCTGAGCAAACATGCACATTTATTTTTTAGTTAACGAGCAAAAGAAAAGATACAATAATCAGATCATCTTATTAAATTTATTTAATTTCCGTATTGATTAATTCACTTATTTTTATTGAGCTTACTGGCGGTCGCTAGTTCAACGGGTGTGTCTTGCACTAACATAAATCCACATATTTTCTTTATGTACTCATCAAATTTGGAGCGCGCCTCGTCTACAATAGATGCACCGAATGACCAATAGCACGCTTGAATGTATATTGCCTCCCAGAGCTCCTCTTTCGTCACCAATAAATTGTTCTTTTCATCGATTTCTGATTTTTGTTTTGCCGATTGATATTTTAATGTTGACAATAAACCATCAAATACGAAGCAAAATTGAGTTACCTTCGGAAACCATGCAAAAAATGTTATTAATAAAATATTATGTAAAGTAAAAAACATTTTGTATTTGTATTAGAGACTTTCTGTCTTCCTAGTTAAAAAATTTATGAGTAATTAAACAAATAATATAAAAATCATATTTTTTTAAATGTAAATTCTAAGATAAATAAATATAAAATGTGTTAATTTAACATATAATATTATAAATTTTAATTTTAAAGAAATATGATTACAAATTGTATCAATGTTCTAAAGTAGATCTTAGTACTTAAATAATTCTGTGTAAATTTATATACATATCCAATTCTGCAAACCGCGCTACGAAATCTTGTTTTAATGATGAACAAAAGAGCAATAATATCATATATTAAATTGACAAACAATTTATTAATATTGATGCTAATAAGCAGTTTTAATAAACATCTTTTATTTACTTAAGTATTGAGATCCAAGCAGTGAGAATACCGAACATAAGATTTCTCTTACTTTATTAGATTTATTCTCTTCAGTCTAATTTCGTATTATAATTGTGTCAGTAATTAATTTTTATATCAGTAATGCGCAACCTTTTAATTACCACTACAATCATAATTGTCCACAAATCAATAGTCAATCTAGTAATTACCATATTGAGTCCAGTTTGCGGTATAATTGTCCGAAGAGGTTCGACTGTTTGAGAGCCTAACATTCCTTCGACAATAAGCTTAAGTGAGCCATGCACATATTTCTCGCACATTTCTCGAAGAAAATCTTGATCGGCTTTGTTTTTGGTTTGTATCCACTTGTCCATATACGGTTGGTAGCCTAGATTTTTTGGGTCTACATAGATCATACCCGCTCTTGAAACCGTTGCAGGTGAGGCATACTGCAAGTCGCCTACCTTTAGCACAGAGATCAATTTATTTTTTAATAAAGTATCTAGATCTTTAGAATTATTAAAAATGTCTATTTTTTTTTTCTATAATTTAATTCATTATAACATTATTATTCTTAATTCTTTTTTCATTGTAATTTGTTTCAAAACTATTATTAATTCATTATGAAATCGTAGTTATATCATATTTATGGTATAATTTTTATACAAAGAGCGACAGTAAAATCAGTTACAAACAATACCTCCTATCGGCTTTATGCTCATATTTATTTGAATATCGTCTTATTCAAACATTAAATTAATTTTTCTAAATTGTCCCTTACAATTCAATAATCGATATTATATCCACATTAAGTTACCTCAAAAAGCAGACTACAATAATTCTGCAATTTGATCCTTTCTTGATTGGCCAGAGTCAATAGCTTGTTATCATCCATTACCGAGTTCATGTTTTCGATCCATAAACAATCAACATCCCCGTCGAGAAGTATGTATCTTCGTTCATCTTTACTGGAATCTAGCGGTCGATTAATTTCTCGAAAGATATTACTCAAAAGACCATCCGTCCATTCTCGTGTTGTAGAATCTAGCTTTCCGTACAGCTCGATGACGGTGCAAGCCTTTAAAAATCATGATGACATAAAGAATTTTACAATAAAATTTAACAATGCTACTGTTATAATTAATTATTATTCACACCTTAGGGTTCAAAATGTGCAATTTTGTGGGTTTACCAAGGTACGTTTGTGCTCTGCAGAGCGTTTTAATGACCACTGTCTTACCACCGCCGGTGGGACCAATAATCATCGTAGAATGTCTAATCATCATCATTTCGTATAACTGAATGACTTTATCAACCTAGGCCGAGTTATTATGTTTTTTTATTATTTTTGTTAATTTGAAGTTTTACGACTATAATAGCTAAATATATAGTATATGTATGCACGGAAAGGATGTTACTAAAGTATCAAAAAATTTAGCTAGACAGATCTAAAAAAATAATGTTGTTGACTATCCAAATTATTACATAAGACGCTAGCCTAATAACTGATATCGCAAAAAATTTTGACATTTTAGTTCGATTGTTTTTACATAATTATTTTTTGGTCTAACAAAATTATTTTCTATATCTAACTATAAATCTATTTATCTTAAAAATATGTTTCTAGCTAAATTTTTATCTTAATAAATTAAGTTTAGTATTAAATACTTTAGCAAAACCTTCTTTCATGCAATGCATTAGAAATCTGGAAAACTATTTACTTGCTCAGGTAAAACAATGTAGCCACGTTCTTTTAATATCGCTTCAACCGCTTCATTAAAATCTGAATAGTGCATTCTGGGGCAATCCAAGTCAGGAAAGAGATCTCTGATCAGACCCAGGAAGAGCGGCACGTCGTCATATATAAACTTAGATAAGTTCATGTCTCTAAGGGCTCTCATCAGCACGACGTTTTCGGGTAAATCATTGGAAGTTTTCTTCAACTGGCCGGCCGTATTAAGCACAGCTTTAAGGGACCTCAAGCCAAAATCATAGTGTGTTTGTTTGCTCAGCTGTTCGCTCGCCAGTTTATAGAGAACGGTCATCTTCTTTGCGAGCAACTTCGCCGTCAAAAAACCGGCGCTAAAAAGCTTAATCTGACAGATTAACTCGTTATCCGGCACTGTGCAGACTACTGGTCTAAAGAGGGCTTTAACAGACTCTGGTAACTCTAGACTACCGGCGTATCCTGGATTCATGGTGATAAAGATTCCTATCTTCGAGTCCATTACGATATCTTGACCCTCGAACTTTTGAAGAATATTTTGGTTATTATAGAATATAATATATACATATAATAAATAGAAATAGGAATTTATATTTAATAAAAATTTGTTTATATTTATCATATATAAAATAATGGAGAAATTAATATAATCATATTAGATAAATATATATTTATTTAAAAAATTAAGAATAATGTAGGTTTAAATTAGAATAAAAATAGAACTTTACTACAGAAAAGTAAAAATAGAATATCAGACATGAACATATATTAATATTATAAAATACTCTTCTTTATATATATATATATACTAAAATTATTCTATTAATTTATACAAAAATTTTAATATAATATTGTGGCTATAAATAACTCGTATTATTCCCGGCACTTCGTGCTTTTCAGTTTAATGAAATATATACCGTAAATCTTTGAGCTTTAACTTGTAGTGCCGAGCGTATAGTTTGAAGCTGGCTCGAAATAACAGAGACAACAGCACTCTCGATATGATTGAATTCGTCGAAACAACCCCATGCACCACACTGAGCGAGACCACCCAGAATCTTTCCAATCGTGATATAGTCCATTTCTCGGCCGCAATTAGTTACGATACATAAGAGCCCTAGAGCTTTCGCTAAATCTTTGACTGTCTCAGTCTTTCCAGTTCCAGCAGGACCTAAGTGTTAAAAATTAAGAAAACGCAGTTTTATTATTATAAACTATTACTTAAATCATTAAAAAATTAAAACGGATAAATTAAAAAAGTATTTGCGCTGATATTTTCGAATACCACGTAATATTTCACTTTTTCCAATATATCTTTGTATTTATAATTACAATACAATATAATTTCTACAGTATAATTTGTTTTATCATGGCTAGATATTTAAGATCGATGAGAAGCTTATCTTGAGATATTTGCAACTCTGTCATATCTATATGCATTACATACCCGCCGGTGCAGCGCCTAATTGCATCGAGAGAGCTTGCGTAATAGTGAGATATATTCTGTCCGTCAGTGGCGTAATGACCAATCTGCCATTAAGACCCATGTACTCGTAACCGTATTCGAAAGTGCCTGTGCATTGATTCATCCATACATTGTCCAGGTCATGAACCCAGTAAAATCTATATACGAAAATACTTAGCTGTAGATTACAATAATTGTAAAAGTAACAGCACTTTTATATAAAGCATATTTATTAATTTTTAATATTGTTATGACTATCAAAATTATATTGTTTAATATAAAAAAATTAAAATTGTATTATTAAAAGACTTGTATTGTTTACATTGTATTGTTGAAAGCTCGCACTGTTTAAAAGACTTGTACTATTAAAATTTGATAAAGCCTACATATTTTTATATAATAAAAAAATTACCTTAATTGGCTTTCCCATTCGAATTCTGTAGGATCCGTAATACTGTCTCTAACAAAACCCTCGACAATGTCGCGAATGTGCACGTAGATAGTTAAAACCATGTCAATCTTCTTTCTGTCATTATTTGTAAGCGAACCGGTACCCATCAATGTCACCACTTCGTCCAGTTGAGTATTGAGTTGTTGTAAATACTACATAAAAATAAAATACTACATACATAAAAAAAGAAATACTTTTTCATATTCAATAACAAATGATAAAACATGACACAAATTATATTCACAATTTGTGAGCATTACTTCTTTCATAGCGCGTTTATTTCCCTGGGATATTTTATCGAAAACATTCTCGACTTCTGCAGTCCACCATATTTGATTGGCTACGAGAATCATCATTCCTTGAAAGTCGAGTATCCACTGAGTTATTGGTCTTCGCACCTACGTTTACAAAATAGTGAAAGTTATTATATACAATTTCTAAATAAAAGAATATTTTAATTTGTCAATTAGTTTAAAGTAGAATATTTTAATTTGTCAATTACTTTAAAGTGATACATTAAAGGAGAAAGTATGAGATATTTTAGAAAAATGTTTTTTTGAAGAGCAAATAAACGGAAGTAACGTGCGATAATTCAATATAAACCTTGCCGTAATTGTAGACCGCTTTCTTTGTTAGATATCGATTCGATCTTTTCATTTCTTCGAGAGCCAGCCCCATCCAGATTTCGACCTGATCTTCCACGGACACGGCATTTCTGAAATCCATAACTTCTCTTTCGCACGATACGAGAGCCGTAAGCATCTGTTTATCTGATATTATGAATTTATCGAGATTATCGAACATCTTTCCTAAGTGTTCCTGAATTGCCGTAGGACTACTACTGCCGAGAATACTCAGCAGTTCTTCGTCGCTAATAAAATTGAATCTTGGGAATATAATGCGTTTATTGCACAAATATTCCGTCAAAGACTTTTGGCACTTCTCGAGGGCTGCTATCATAGTTTCAAACTCACTCTTTCGACCTAATATTTAACAAATAAGTAAATAATTATTTTTTAAATTTTTTCTAATTTATTTTATATTTTATGAATATTTCTTATAAGTTTCTTATATGTATATTTTTTATATATTTTCGAAATTTTCTTGGCGACAATTTTTCCTAAAATTCTTTATATATTTTTTCAAAATTTTTATATAATCTTATAATTTAAAAAAATTTTTTTAGCTTTTTATACGAATTGGAATAATCTTTTTAGAAATGTAAAAAAATCTAGATCTTTTCTAGAAATTTTTATACATATTTGTGAATCCTGAAATATTCTAAAATTTCTCATTTTCCAATCTCTGCAATAAAGTTTAAAGAAGTACATGATTTTTTTTATAAATCTTCATATTATTTAAAATATAAAAATTCTTAAAAATATGTTATACTAATTTTTTTCAACTAGATTAACTTTAATAATGAGACAAACTAATTCTCTTTAAGTACCATGAATCAAGCAACATTCCAAAACATTGAGCCTCTTCGACGTGTCAATCATGATTTTTCGATAAACTTGATCGATATTATCGAATTGTTTTGTTTCGTCCGGTAAGTGAAAGCGAATGTCGCCACCCACGAAAATACCCTCGAGATATAACCACTTTCGCTGAAGATCCACCCACACTTCCAGAACTTCGGAGATCGTATGCATTGTGCGTTCCCATTTTTGTACGACATTGAGAAACGGCCCGATGAATTGCGAGGATGCCATGCTGTGTACGTTCAACATGTTATCTTCGAGTACCAGATTCAATTCGTCAAGTGGTCCAAGAATAAAGCCGCGCTCTTCTATACCTGGAAAATGCAATCAACAATCGTAGGATTATATATCTCATTATAGTTATAGTTTAATGATAATTATTTTCAGATATGTGCTTAATTAAATTTTTAGATACTTTAACAAAATCGTTCTTTCCATGAACTAATTTTTTTTCAAATTCAAGTCTTATATACTCGCATACTTGTTTGTTCAATAATAATAATAAGTTCATATTTTTCTAAATACCTTTATAATGTTTTATCATATTAAATTCCATGGATTTCCATATTTCTGTTAATTCTTTTATGCCTCTTTCTATCGAAAGTTCTTTCACGGCATACATTACAACATCTTGTGCAATATCTTGATATTTTCCCAGTTCCATAGCGAACATATTCTCTAAAGTAAATCTGGAACGATCCAATATTCAGACTATTATATTTATGTACTTAAAGCGAATATTGTATGGCTTGAAGCTTACCCCTCTATGGTAAAAGATTTTTCTTGCGCCATGTTTATATCACTTAAAAAATGTCTATGTAACTAATTATACTTTTACAAAGTAAGTATCAAATTATATGCACTTGATTAAGTTTATGTTGGTCGTTAACAATAAATTATGTCTCTTGCGACAATCTGTAAACAGACTCGTGTAATTAAAAAAAAAGAAAATAATATGCAAGATACTTGTTAATTTAACTGAAAAATTATATACAGATTCGATATAACTATTATTCTAAAACAATTTACATCTCGCAACGTAAACGTTTGTTATGTACGCAAGTATTAAAAAATACAAATATGTTCGCATGTATATTCTATATTTATATGGAAAGGATGGTTTTGTTGAATTATTTAAAAATTTAGCTAGATTTGAAGATAATTTTATTGAACTATTCAATTATGTAAGACGTTTAAATTCACTAGAATATAAAAACTTTTTGGAATACTGCTTATCTATCATGCTTGAGATTCCTACGTATTTATTTTGATGTGTCCAACAATATTACTTTCAGTTTTGCATTTAGCTAAATTTTTAGATACTTCAGCAAAATTGTTTTTTTTATTTGTGAAAATATTGCACGTTAATACAATTGCACTATGCAAATAAAAATAATATAAATAAAAAAATCAATATTCAGATATAATAAAAGATAGATACAAAAATGCAATTATCATAAATACACAAGTCTAATAATTATCCTTCTCTATGCTCTTATATATTATTTTTTTCGCAACTAAAATCAGTCTATCAAGTTATCTGTTTATTCGTACGTCTAATTAACACTCGTTAATTATTCGTCATCCGCACACCTGTCCGGGTCCATATCGAAATACTGTCCGGTCCTTCTCATCAACTCTTGCCAGTGTCTTTCGCGCATAGCTTCGTTTTTCAGCTCGATGAAGAGCGGCACCGAGTTCTTGAAGTCCTTCATGTTGGTCTCCAATGCGTGGGCAACATTCAAACTTCTGATGGATAACGGCAGCAGTCGAAACTGCCTTATAAAGTGTTCCATACCGTCGATGAGTTGCTGCGGATTCAAATTCACCCACAGAGTCTTCGCCCAGACTTCTCGTGAGCGTCTCTGTTCCTTGTAGAGATTATACAGCACTTCCATGCTCTTGTATTCCCTTTTGATCTTGAGGAGAGTTGAATAATCGGTAGACGATAAGTTAAACAAATTTTCTAACTTTATTAGATTCAGCCGCTTTTCCTCGTATTTATTAATCAGCTTGCCATATTCCTATATAATAGAAGAAGAATAAAGAAATCTTTTAACTTCTGACTTTATTCTTATCAAAGATGTGATATTATTCAAAAAATTTAGAAAAGTTAATCAAAACTCGAAACGTATTTTAGAAAAATGTTTTTAAGAAGATATAATTAAATTATTTATAAATAATTTTAACTTTTTATAAATAATATTATCTTTAATTTTTTAGAAGAATGTTTTTAAAAGGATATAATCATATTTATAATTATCCCTTTTAAATTTTACGTACATCCATTTTTTTCAGTCCTAATTCCAGGTCGTCCCCGATACTTCCGGGACCAAATGTCTCAAAATTTTCAGCGAACATCGCGGTATCAATCAAGAATTGCTGGATTTCTTCTTCAGTAAGCTCGGAAAATTTTTCGCTAGTGCTTTCTAAAGTCAAAGCTCTGTAGAGCCCTTCGAGATACAACGATTCCCAGTCTCGTTGCAATTCATATGCCATCGCTTCGTCCGATGAGGAAAAAACGATCCCATGGGCGCGCATAGTTTGAAAGCACTCCTGATAACAGACAAATTGCACTTCGGCTTGTATCGCCGTATTTCTCACGTCGGTGATGGCTTGCATGATTGACACAAAACGATCCAGTCCCGTAACCACCAGCTCGATCTTGCCGCGAAAGGTATCGATTCGAGTTTTAAGTTGGCCCATAGCCAATACGGTATCAGACAGAAGATAATTCCCTAAAACTTGTTTCCATTCCTTTGCTTGATGCTCGATGCCTGATAAAAGTGGTTTCAGGTTGAGCCTTTGAAAAGAAAGTAAATCGGAGTACAATAGAATTAAAAAATAAAAAGTTAATCCTTCGATATAATGAACTTTTCTCATTATTCTTTTTGTTAACAACGTTACAGTTTTATATTTACCGTACACTGTTTATGTCAAAATACAATGACATGTCTTCGAGTTCCTCCAAAATGCCTTCATAAAATGTAAACTTTTCGTCGTATTGTAAAAGCATAGGTTTCGTCGATGCAAATTTTTCACAAGCCAGATTTTTATCAAATGACCACAAGTTGCTATATTTCTTCCATTTATATAGGTATCGCCAACATTCAGCCGAGATTCTATGCGCTGTATCGTGAATCGCTTTTACAAGTTCGTTAACTATCTGTAGTAATTTTAAATCTTAAATCACATTGCGTAATGCTAATAATAAATTTTTTTAAACATGTTATTAAATTATCATAAAATTTAATATAATAATCAATGAACTCTTTAGTGAAAAAAATTCTCATAAAATGTTATAATGTTTTTAAGAATTTGTCATATATTATTCAATAAAAAATAAGAAACACTTTTAAAACACTCAAAATTGTGGAATTTTTAGATCGTCAAAACTCTCAGTAAAAAATCATTACAGATAAAAAACAATAAAAAATGTATTTTAAAACTTAAAACTTGTTAACAAACTTGTTAAAACTTGTAAACAGCTAAAACATGTTTTAGCTGTTTTTAAAAGATTTTTATTTTTCCAGTTTTGTATCTTTCTAAAAATCACATTGTTATATTCTTTAAAATTACATACACTCAATAGTCTGTGCTTTGATAAAAATTTTCTTAAAAATTTTAATACTTTTGTACAAAAAAGAACAGAGTTTTACTTACAAAATGCTTGTTTAAAAATTTTCTCTTTTTTAACAATTTTTCTTGATCAAATTACGCGACTTTGAAGCTAAACCTGCATTTCTTATAATCAATAAAAATTCTGAAAAATTATATGAACAATTCTAAGAAAAATTTTTATCAGGACTTTACTCAACTCGAATGCTCATCACGTCTTCGAAGAAGCTGAAAGTGACTAAATCCTGTGAGTGCTCCTTTCTTTGCGGCTTGCACTGTAAGCAAGTTCCATTCATCCATCTGGAGAATCCTTTCAGCCTTTCAAGTAAATCTTGTACATCGTGGCAAATGATACTAAAGATTTCGTTGGGCGATGGACGTAATATTACCTCAGATGTTATTAATAATGCGTCTACTTGGAAGATTGGCTTAGTGTTGTTCAACATTTTGTTCAGAACTTCCATATTTCTGACCATACATCTAGAAAGTCAATCAAATGACGATTTTGTAATATAAAAAATTTATTTTAATGTAATTATCATTTTTACTGTTAAAACAGATATATACATTATAAAGGCAGCAAAGATTTGCTTTTCATATTTTTTGTACAAGATTTGCATAGCTGGACTTGTCCCAGTAGAAGTACCCAATACTATACTTTCTAGTTTCACAAGCATCGGACTAATCGACTGATAAGTCTTTAACATTGACGATACCAGTTCAGATCGTCGATTTTTTATCTCCATAAAATATTTCTATAAAGAGGAAATTAAATATATATTTAACAATAAGAGACAATTCCATTTTGTTAAATAATGTTTACAATAAAATCTCCATTATTCATAAAAATTAACATTTTTCTAAATATCTTATTTTAAATATCTTATTTAAAATAACTGAATTTACATTTTCAGATACGTTATTTTAATGTTAATTGTTTACTTACTCATAAAAATTGTATTATTTAATATTAATTGTACAAAAAGGTTAAATATCACTTATACAGCATAAAAATTTGCAGCAACAATGTTGGAACGTTGCTGCAATATTACTGGAATGAACTGAGCGTATGGGTAATTTAATAAAACCCGTAGAAATTTCAAAAATATTATCGTAAAATGTCGTCAAATAACAAAATCACATTATGTGTGTTAAATTAAAACAAATACAAAATATCTGTAATTATATTATGAAAAAAAATTTATATAATACCTTGCATGGTAAAAGATCCTCTGATTCAGCGACTTCCTTCTTCGTGGAAAACAGATAGTACGATTGCAATTCAGATTTTATTCGACTATCAAGCTCTTTCTTCATCTGATTAACTTGCTCGACAATAGAGTTTAAGTTCTTCAATATTCTGTGACAGGCGGCCGCATAATCCGAGATGGTCAGAGAGTTCCAATTGAACCGTGTCACTCCAGGTTGTATGTTCTTCTCAACATCCTGTAGAGTCTGCTTTAGCAATTGTATGTCCGCTCTGTCCAGCATATCTAGGATGTTATTGTACTGATCGATCACTTTCGTGATGACGTCGATATCCGCTCGTAGTCGATTTTTCTGAATGCCAACGTCTCTGATAGTCGTAGGCAGTTCGAAACCCAACTGCTCCATTAGTTCCGCCTCTCTGATGACCTCGAATATCTCCCAATCGAAGTTGATCTGAAAGCGGAGCTGACACTCTACCAAAATGGTGCCACTCATAAATTCTGGCCAAGTAATCTTCGCGCGAACGAAGTCGTGTTTATCGAAGGATACGGATGAAGTTTTATCATCCTTCGAGGATCCTCTGGCATCGACCTTCACTTCCAAAAGTGCTTGCATTCTAGAGTCCGCGGCACTTACGATCTCTGCGCTGGGCTTCGATATCACACCATCCATCTTCAGTGCGGATTCATATGGAGATAGGATAGTACCCACATTCTTGACCTTCATTTTCGACGCATGAATTACATTTTTCATGGCTCGCTCTTCGTCCGGGAAGGTTAAAGTGGCTGGATAATCCCGTTCAACCCGTACTATCCTCAGCACGCTCTTTTTCAAGGTAGTAGTCACCGTCAGCAGTGCTTTTTCTAGCCACGCATTAAATGTCACCCTTTCGAAATTCTTCAACTGCTTCGCAAGATCGAAATACTGGCTGAACGCAAGCAGTTTCAGCTCACTGTGCTTCAGTTCGCGCACTTCTTGGAAAATCAAAACTGGCCTGCGTAATCTGTGGAACAACTGCTTCACCCAAAAGATCGCTCCCGCCATCGGCGGATGATACGTCAATAACGGCGGATGCCATTTGCCACGATGATATATGCTCTCTACGGCGTTAATCTCTTTGCTAAATTGTTGCATAATAACATTAAACTTCCGGAACAACAGGTGTTGAATAGTGGCACGGGTCTTCATATTCTTAAACTTGAGCAACATCTCCAGTGAATTCTCGGCGTTGATCAACACTATGAAACATTCGTCGATGTAGAATTTGGCTTTATCTTCCAAAAACGTCACTTGCTCATAAAACCACGCGATCAACGCTTCCCAATTCTCCTTGTTGAATACATTGAAGATGTCAAAATCAGCTTCTTCGATCGGCACTATTAGTGCGTCCACTTGTTTCACCACAGCGTCAATCTGCGCCGGATCATTTATGATAGACTTCAAATCGGGCCCAAAGATATTATAGAAGTCTTGTAAGACACTGGCGATTTTGTGGAGGTCGCTGCACACCTCAGCGATGTACTCAGTGTCCTGAAAGAGACGCTTCTGATCAAATTCCCAGCGAACTCCCTTTCCCGACAGTTCAATGTCCAATCTGGTCTTCAGGTACGATTGCTTCCATTGTTTCAGCATCACATTGGCCATATTCGTCTTTTCCAGAATCTCTTCTAGAGGTTTTTTAAATAATCGAACGATCGCTAAATTCTGTTTGACATTTTCGCAGAGCTGCCACGATATTCGGTCCATTAATAGCATCAGTCTTTCTTCATGGCCATAATAACTTGATAATATCCATAGCATTCGCAATCCTTCCATCAATGAAGGAATGCACTCCGATATAGATTCAAACAAATCCGATTCGGTAATCAACTGCGATGTTAATAAATAATGGAACAGTATTATTAAAATATTTGCACAAATTCTATATTTTTTAATTAGTTTAGAATTGACCTTGCTTCAGCAAAAATAGATTTAGCGCATTTTACAACTGTTTTATCTTTAATATTTAGAACATTCATTTAAGGAATTCAAAAATTTGATCGGTAAATTTTTGAATTTCCAAATAGTATAAAACATTCTATGAAAATTTTTATAAAATATAAATATTCTCAATTTTGAAATATTTTAATAAAATATTCTATAAATATTCTATTTCAAAATTTGTATTTATAATAAAAAGAACATTCATAGAATGTTCCTCAACATTTTGTAAAGTTAGATAATGAATTGCGCATATGCAATATACTCTAATAATACAAGACGTGCTCAGGATGATCCTGAATACGTCTGGAATATGTTTTAAATATCCTGGAACATGTGTGGGATATGTTTAGATTTAAATTAAATAATTCTTAAAATCTTTACCTTAAAATACCTTAACAGCGTTTCAATAAATTTATTGGTGTCCCTAGCTTTAACATAATGCTTCCAGAGTTCGGCCTGAAAATCGTGAAAGCTGGAGGCGATCAGCGAACCTGCTTGTTCCAGAAGAGTAAGGATCCTCTTAACGATAGGCATTTTTAATTGTTCAACTAACATCGTTAATCCAGTTTCGCAGTTCTGCCAATATTGATGCACCGCTATTGGTCCCTTTCCTTCAGGTACTTTACTCTCGTATGACTCCATTATCTAAACGATAATAAAATAAAATGTTTTAATACGTGCTATTATTAAGATTTAACTTTTATTATTTACAGACGAATTATTTTAATTTTCACGACACATGGATATACTAATGTAATAAAAAACGGTAAATAAATTAGACAAAAAGTATACAAAAGAGAAATACGAAAGAGATACTAAATTATTTACTTTCTGGATATGTCTCTCCCATGACATAATTACTTCTTCCATTTGTTCAATAATATCCTTATTCTTCACTAACATATCATCTGTTATCGCAGGATCGTCTAGCTCTGAAATCTTCGGCATCGTCAGTAAGATATCGCTTTCGATATGTTCCAACGTCCTATATTACCAAAATAAAAATCACAAAGTTATCAATATAAAAAGAGAAAATCTAGGAAAAAATCTGATAAAAAACATCTAGTCTTTGGTATAAAATAGAACTAACCATTCCGTTTTCTCAATTAAATTATCAAGATAATCTAAAATGTCTCTTTTGAGCTGTTCGTTCACTGGCTGTTTCTTCATTTCTTTCGAATGAACTGATTTGCTGGACTTAGACGCCGAAATGGATTGTTCGGATTTTCCATCGAGTCCTTTCAAATTTGACTTTTGTTTCCTATTCTTTAAAACCTCGTCCTGCAAGGTTGCCATAGAAATTGTGGTATTTCCTTCGTCATCTACCTTTTTGTTTGCGTCTGAATTCTGGCGGGATACTATATTTGACGCTGTCACGAAATCAGATGGTCTTCTCAACATTGATTTCTTTAATCAAGGACAAAAATCTTAAAATCATTTACCATTAATAGCATTTTAATTTTCATTATTAATCTGAATTAATATGTGTGATATGTGCAAGAAAGAAAAGAAGCAACTGTTTGTGTTGAAAAAATTAAAAATATTATAGAAGATATTGTGCTAAATTACCGTTAAGAATTCTTTATTATTTTGAAATAAATAATATTTTATGTAAGGTAATTGAATTATCCCTTTATGATCTACTTAAGTTTTGTGATTTTTTTTTCTAATTTTTTTGTTGAATCTATTTCGAAAATTAATAGTCAGATTTAAAAGAGAAAACATTTCTGAATATTAAAAGAAATATAAGACGTTTTTAATATTTATATAGGTGCAGTAAAAATTTTAAGAAAAAATAATTAAGTTTTCAGTTCCGCTTTATTTGAAATTGTCTACGTAAACAATTAATAACATAGTACTGATTTTCTAGCTGACTCTTAAACTTTGATTATAAACTTTAGATCCTCCTTCATAGAGATTACTATCCTGATATTGAAATTCGATATTTTCAGATTACACATTTAAACTTAGAGATACCAAGAACTTCTAAAATCGAGTGTCACGATAATCAGATACTTTTTTGAAATTTGAATTTAAGAATTTTGAGACCAAAATCAATGACTCCAAAAACCTTTAAAAAACACGATCTTCCAATAGGAAGGTCCGATCCTTAAAGGTTAAAACTCTTGCTAACATAAATATTACTTCCTTGATAACAACTTACCGCTTCTACATATTTTCCGTCTGCATTTTTCGTTTGCTCGCGAATATTCGGCGCTCTGAATTGATTTTCCACCAATGGTTTAAATACCTAGCGTTTTTTAAATATATTATTTAATTACTTTAATCTTAAATATTTTAATATATTGCAATATATTTTTCCTAAAATTATGACATTGAAATATCAACAAATTTTTGTAATGTTATGTAAGTACTAAAACATTTTCTTTTTTTCATATCATGTACTTTTATCTTTCCATATAATGAAATATTAAAATGGAATAAAATTTCCTTTTCCATGTACTGTGACGTTTTTTGTTGACACGTTGCAGCTGCGATGATAGCACATGGCCAGAATTTTATATTCGTTACGACCGTTTTTCTAATGTACTGTTGAGATGACAAATACATGTTTGTTATTCTTCTTATTATTAATTCGTGTGTGATTCTTACAATCTTCTCTCTTTCGTCTTTCGACTTTTCTTCGCTCTGAATGAACCACTCCCAATTTCGTGGCTGAGCAGATGGATTTCGTCCGTTTCGCAATAGAGAATTGTCGAGAATAATTGCTAAAATTAAGTAACGTACGGAAGAGTGGCACGCTCACTCGTGCCTGCCAGAATTCCGCGAAGAATGTTGCGATAAGTTGAGATAAATGACAACTGATAATTTGAAAATTGATGTAATATTGCGAGCTGCCGAAAAAAAATTACACGAAAACGCGACAAAGTTGTGCCGTCACTCGCGAGTACAATCACAGTACATGGAAGCTATTTTCAAATTGCTATATCTTGAAAATGAAACACTATACCAAAATAAAATAAAAATACTTACGTTGACTAGTATTCTATTTAAAGAGGACAAGAATTTCCTGTTAAGCGAACCGACCACCACATAATTCGTGATCTCATTAAGGCACTCTTCATAAGTATCGAAGGAGCGTACACCCTCATCGCTGGTGCGCATAAAATAAAAGAGCGTGATGTCTTGCAAGTCGGTTCTACTATCATCTATTGTGCCGCATATCATGTGAAGCACTGGTACCTGACGAACTTTCTCTACCATTTTCTGTAATTGTCGTAAATCACGAAATTTGATCGGTTACTCAATACCGGTACCGATGTGCTTTAATTGCGGTTTAAATCGATTACAACATTGTCTCCTAAAACTAGATAAAAGAAGAAAGAGATAACGAATTGGTTAAGTTAAAAGATTAATTACCGGTAGTGAAATCAAAGTTAACAATCGCTCGTTTTTTAATCTTTCTTTTCTTAGCAAAAATTTGATTTTATGGTAGTATTTAACGTTACTAATATTAGCATCACAACACACATTATTATTATGACGATCAATTTAATTTGTGATATTATTATTTCAGCTTTAGTTTGTAATTGCGTTTTATAATAAATCCGACTATGTTCCATAATTGGAACATAGTTTATATAACTAAAAGAAGTATTTAAAATTTACATATAGATATTATAATAGACACCAAGATTTAACCTTGATCATGTTATCGCATCTTTACTAATTAGTTCAATTTTTTGTCACATTACAGAATTAATTATTTAAAACAATGTCATTTAATAATAAATGACATTAATGTAAACATGGTTATTTAGAGGATTACCTTAGTCAAAACATATTTATCTTCTTCTCCAGGCGGTGGTATAATAACAGAATTGCCTAAAGAAATTAATTGATTATTATGTGCTGTTATATACAGAATAGAGTATTCAAAGCATTGTATAAGTTATTATCTTTGAAAATATGAATTAAACAAAAAATTACTTTAAATAATATTCTATATATTCATTAAAATAAATTAATTTCAGAAATTATAACTGCATGCCGATATGCGTCCGGTTGTCGAACTTTCAACGCAATCAATCTGTAATCTGAAATAATAATAATCCCCACAAATTTCCTATATCGGCACGCAATTATAATTTCTGAAATTAATTCATTTAAATAAATATAATAGAATAGTTCAATATCTTAATTCAGACCGTAGTGGCGCTTTGTATTTTAAAATTTCTAACATAAACGGTCTTATCTCCAATCTTATTAAATAAAAAATATGCTTATATAAAAGTTATATAGCCTTATAAAGCACAAATAATAAATAATAAAATCAATTTTTGGAAGAATAGATTTTTTATAGCCACAGATTATTTTTTTTAATGTAATTGTATAATTTCTTTCATATAATATAATTCTTCTAATTATTCTGCATATAAAAGTATTAAGATAGAGATATCAAAAAATATATTGAAGTATAATATTTATAAAAATTTTTATTTTAAAATTGAAAGTGATAAGAAAAGAAGTAAATTTACTTCTTAATATAAAAATAAAGTAAGTAATACATTATTGCTTATTGTAGTGTTATTATTACTATATAAAAAAATAACATTATGGAAATGATAGGCTACTAAAGTCAAGTAAAACTGTTTCCAAATAACTTTGGTAATCAAACAACATTGAAATCATTCAAAGTACCAGTTCTCGTCTGATCGCTGAAGTCAAGCAACATTGAGCACGGTTAGTACTTGAATGATCGCTTGGGAATACCGTGTGATGTTGTCTTTTAATTTTTTATTTTTTATTATTTGTCTAGTTGGGAGATCGTATGACAAGATACTCTATTAAGGATTATATATTTTTTTCGTAACAGTTAATATATTTTAAAATAACTCTAATACTTTATATGCAAAATAATTAAAGGAATTATTATATATCTTTACATATTATGATATTTACATATTATGTAAAGATATCATACAATTCCATATTTTTAAAATAGTTATTACTTTTATATAGTCATGGTAAATTAATTTTTTTTCTAAAATTGATTTTATTATTATTTATATGGCCCCATCAGGTCATACAACTTTTACTGAACGTATTTTTGATTTAACGCATACTTTCAACAATAGCTTGTAATGCTTAATCTTATATTCTTCGCTTAATCTATATATTCAAAACCAATAAAATCCAATGGAACCAAAATCAATGGAACTAACCAGTAGAAGCGTTTTTTAAATCTCCCTTTTTTCTAGAGTAAATAGGAAAATCGTCATTGTCAGTCTGCTCCCTGTCATCTTCTTCCTTTTCTTCCTCTTCGCTGGATTCTGGCATACTAGGTGCATGCATCGTGCTAGTGCTCATTGTCGTATCACTAGCAACTGGACTGACATCCGTTTTACTGCCTTTAGCTTTACTTCTCTTCTTTCTTTTATCTTTTTTTTCGTCAACGCGTTTCTCCACTTTTCCTAATATTAAAAATGTTATGTGCAAGATTATTACTTTTTATCTAATTGTAAGAAGTTTATAAAATACCATGAAAAATATACCTATTAATTTCAAAATTATTTATATCTTAAAAATTGTATACTTTTATATAAAATTACTTTGTATTTTAAAATTTATATAAAAATATAAAAAAAATGAGATAAAAAATATATTTCTAAACAAAAAAAAAACATACAATAAGATACTTCATGCTTTAATTATGCGAGTTGCACAAGATGCATTTATGCATAAAACAATGTATAATTTTTATATAAAATTCGCTTACTTATTATTAAGCACAATGACACAAACCACTTTATTGCTTATTAATTTATTACTAAATTTTTATAGTATTATTTACGTTAATGTAATATTTAAATTTGTTTAGCTAGGAAATATAATATACAAAGTATGATTTTTCATATATGTGCAATTTCAGAATCATGACATCTATTGCCAAAAGAATATTTGACAATTTCGAAATTTTCCCTCTCTTTATAAAATATATTTTATCTTACTTTCCTCCCATACTGGAACCTCCTCTTGAAATATTTCACTAATGTAAGTTTTATAGAAGAAAATCAATTTCTTTTCTAGATCTGTCACACCGTACAAGTCTAATATGAGAAAGTTGAGCAGCTTGTCCTCAAAATATCGATTATTTGCCTAATATTAAACATAGATATTAATTTTAATTAATTTTGAATTATGTATCAAGAAAGATTACACAGTGGTTCAAGTA